AGACCTTTGAAGGGAAGCCTTACGGACAAAAGTTATGACTTTCACTGCAAGTCAAATATTAAGAGAGAACTGGTATAAGATGCATTTTTGGTGGTATATTACCCCAAGAGGTAGACAGAAAATGGATAAGAATTTTAATGGAAAATGTTGGAATTGTAAAGAGAAAGATTGGACATTCCACCATATATGGTAGACCTGTGATAGAACTAAAAGATTTTAGAAGCAGATACAGATGGAAATGCAGAAAATACTTAAAATGGACTTTCCAATGAACACCAGGAATATTCTATTGACTATTGTACATATCCCAAAGATTATGACAGAGTTATTTAAATACATGCCAACAACAGCAAGAGTGGTAACTGCTTCAAAGTGGAAAGCTGAAGACTGTCCAGATATTGAGGATTGGAAAAACAAGTTAACTGACTATGCAATAATGATGAAATTGACTAACTAGATTGATTAACAGAAGTCTAGTTAAAGAATTTACTCAAAGATGGAAAATTGTTATCAACAATTTAATTGTTAAAGAAAATACAGTTTTTATAAATGTCGATAGTTACTACTTTAAAGTTAAATCAATAGACTAGACAAATGTTGCCTGACTGAAAATTGAATTGTCTTGACAGAATTATAGCCGGTGAGATTTTCGCTATTATGAATGTGCTTAAATGTTGATGTCACATTATTTAAACATCATTTTAATTGTTAAAATATATCATCTGGCCAGGGCAACTTCTTCTTCCTTCTCTTTTATCCTCCTATATTATTTATTTACTTATTTTATACTGATAATTTTAATTTTATATTATTAAGTTTGTAACTCAATGTATTTTTTGTATTTTTGTATTTAATGGTAATTTATTATGTGCTATTGTATTTCAATGTATTTTATTGTGTTGTAAGCTGCCCCGAGGCTTCGGCAAGGGGCGGCATAGAAATGTTAATAATAATAATAATAATAATAATAATAATAAATTTGTGCATTGACCCTTGGCACCTTCCTTTTCCATATCTCCTTTCCTTCCTTACTGTATTGTGTGAAAATAAATTTTAAAAGATTTGAAAATAAAAAGACATTGTGGGAGTACCATTCCAGCTCTTATCATCCTAACATCCTCAAATGTTCAGTGTTTGGCATGGAGAACAGAATTTCAATCTGTTTTGGTGATGAATCTAATCTAGAGAAACAATGGTTTAATGCACACGTAGTATAAAGTTTTTAAAAGGACAGGTTTATCTCTGGTGAGAAGCAGACATTTATTTAGGAAAAAAAATGAAAAGACTGTTCAATAAAATATTTGCAAGATCCAGCACAAAAGAAATCATGAAACAATAATGAAACTAATAGAACCAAATTTAAAGGACAGTGGCAGTGATTATAATTCTACATGGCCTATTCAGTTTAGCTTTGGATAAAAGGACCATTTAGATGAACCAGTGCATTGATGCATTACTTTTGTGAAATTGTCTTGGCTTAGAACGGAGAGTGCTTGCAATAAGTTACATCAGCTGTATTTCATTTTATAGCAGGAGCATGAGTGTGTACCTTCTCCTGGGGGTATTTTGGACCCAGAAGTGGCGCTGATGTGGATTTTATAAGCTCCACCAAGCTTATACAGAACCCAGTTTAGCTGGTACCATCTCAGGTAGAACCAGTCCTGGGCATACCTGTATCAGGGAACTGCAAAATCCTCCCTCGGAAAGTTGGCTAGCACACACTACAACCTGGCTTGGCTTCAGGGAGCCACAGGAGGCTGCCATGATCATGCGAACAGTCACTGATGGAACGGGCCCATTGCAGGTGCCTCCATCAAGGGCCCACAACAACCTGTCATCAGCACTGTGCTGGTGACGGTACGCACTTTATCCTTTAGGGGAAGTAACTGTTCTCTCTGAATTGCTCTGGTCAGATAGTGGCTAAATGAGCCAAGGGATAGGGATGGGTGTCATGGCTCATCAAGCTGCTTTAATTTAATTAACTGCAGTGTGGTCACTGATGAAGCCAGTAGTGTATGAAGGCATTCCAGGGAGAGCCAGTGTGGCGTAGTGGTGAAGAGCGTGGGACTGGGACTCAGAGGATCTGGGTTCTAGTCCCCGCTCAGTCATGGAGCCAACTGGGTGACTTTGGGCCAGTCACAGACTCTCAGCCCAACCTACCTCACGGGGTTGTTGTTGTGAGGGATAAGATGAAGGAGGAGGAGATGTAAGCTGCCTTGAGCCCTTTGTAGGAAAAAGGCAGGATATAAATCGCAATATAAATAAATAAATAAATAAATATAGGAAACTCCAGTTCATTTCAACAGGAGGTTTCTCCCACATCGATCCTAGGCTTGCTGTTTCTTCAGCTGGCTAATTGTAGAGTTGCCATTGTGTCAGAACAAAATCAAAGAAGAGTCTTGAAGCAGCTTACAGATGGGCGCATTTGCTGTAGTGCAAGCTTTCATGGTTGAGATACTGTGGCATGTGTTCCGTAACCTGTGAAAGCTATGACTAACTCAGTGAAGCAGGAGGAAGAGGATGATTAAGCTCGAGACCCAGCAGTGTGGCATTCTGAATACCTGCTTTTCAGCTTTAATGGCTGTAGAGGGAAAAATCCTTTACATTGTATTATGTTCAGTTTTGATTCCTAAGCAGCTGCTCTTTGCCTTCTGACATTTTCATATACCTAATTTTCATTTTATAGATAAGGGGAGATGAGGAGGGTTGGGTGCTCTAAATAAAAGCCAACATCCCTCTGCAGAAGAAATTTATCTGCATATAAAGAGGAATTAGTATCCCAGGGTTATGATTATAGACTGCAAGGACATGAATGAACAGGGACTGTGATGAATCATCCAGTGGTTTTGCATAAATGAAAGTGAAGCCTTTGTTGCTTGGAATTAAGTTAGCTATACACATGGTCCCATGTCAGCCCATTACTCTGTACTTGGATAGATATGGCCTTGTGACATCTTAGGGTTCAAGTCCAGTGTAATAAGGAAAAGCAAATTATTCTTTGAAGAAGGCTTCTTTGTGCATCCCATCTCTCTCATTTTCCAGAAGACTAAGGGAAAAGTTCTGAAGCTACCTTTTGGCTTCAACTGAAGTCCACAGGTTGGCTTCTGTATCCATAGCACCCACTTTCTTATTTAACATCTGGTTAATTACACTAAGGCTGTGGAGGAGTGTGGTCCAGTTTCATTGGGTGAAAGGTGTACCCCCGCCCCGAAAATCATTATTGTATTTATTTATTTATTTTTCAATTTATATCCTGCCTTTTCCTACAAAGGGCTCAAGGCAGCTTACATCATTCTCCTCCATCTTATCCCTACAACAACAGCCCTGTGAGGTAGGTTGGGCTGAGAGTCTGTGACTGGCCCAAAGTCACCCAGTTGGCTCCATGGCCAAGCGGGGACTAGAACCCAGATCGCCTGAGTCCCAGTCCCATGCTCTTAACCACTACACCACACTGGCTCCAACATATACCCAATTAAAGGGGTGGGAAAGAAAGGTATTTTTCACATACCTTATAAACAATTGTAAGCTAACTTGAAATAAGGTTGGAATCAAGCAGTAAATAGGAATTACTTCGAAGAAGGTGTTTCTGAATGTAGTTTGTTCTCAGACGGATGATGCCGAGTGGTGAAGGAGGCACTCCTTCCGTGACTCTTTGCTGAATCCAGGTGTGCTTTAGAGCTCATGAACAATTCTGCATTTCCCAGCTAGTAAAATCATGCTGCTGGTGGCCCCTTCGCAGTGCCAGGAGGGTTGGGATTTGAAGCTCTCATGTTTTAAATGGACAGCATCCTCAACAGTTTCTCAGTAACCAAGGATTAGGAACAGTGCCATTTCTTACTTCTACTTACAGGAGAATCTGTTAAAGGATATCTGCAATTGGGACCATGAGAACTGCTCAGAGCAACTTTGTATAGGGTCTTTTTGGTCCTGTTTAAACTGTTTAGAAGAAGCACAAACCATCTTCCTTAAGGAAAGGTAGAAAGCTTCACATGTCATCATGTTTTCTCCCACACAAACATATTTCCACCTTTCCTGGGATCTAAGACACCAAAACAGCTGTGCATAACCCATCTGTTGATAAAGGTCCTTCAAATAATTTATTATTTTTCATATAACGCTTTCTCACTGTGTTTGAACCCTGAGTCACCACCTATTAGCATCCATAATGAAGTCTACAGAAAAGAGATGTTCTGGGAAGTGAAGTTGCTTGGTGAGCTTCTGATCTAGAATCTAACTTAATCAGAACAATTACTTTCCGAATCTGTTGTAGCATAGCATCTTCTTCTTCCCCAACTTTTTCCCCCTTGGGCCATTTTTGTACTATTCAGGATTCAGGCGCATTGTTTTATGAACAAACTGCCGTGCCAGACACCCCAGCCCAAGAACTTTCACTGGAATGTTTTTGCCAGCAGAAGCAGTTAAAGAATCCATGGATACTCCATCCCTGGCTGGTTAACATGATGCCTCAACTTGGAATTCTGGGTTCTCTTTCTCATGATAAGTTGGAATGGAAACCCAACCAGTGAACATGCTGGTTCATGTAATCTAGACGTTTGAGTGAGAGTACAGAGACAGTGGAGAAGATGCATCTCTTAGATGTACTTATTGAACAGGCAGTTGGACTTAAAAGAGTTTCGTCTTGTTTGGGTAGCTGAAGAATGTATGTTTGCTTCAGTGTGACAAAGTGATTTCTAGTGAGGTTGGTGTTTGGTTCTGCACTACTAAAACACTGTTATCTTAAAATTAATCTCCTAGGAACTAATCTTCAAATTTGCGTTTGGTTTAATTCATCTATGTAGCCTATGTGGTGGTGTTTTTGAAAAACATGAAGATTTTGTCACAATGTGTTAATATTGTGTCTCCTGACTTTTCTGTTCTTAAGTATTCGGTCTTCATGGACAGCTAATTAAAATGGGAGATGTTGAAACAGAATACATTTTTTTTCCTGAATAACTGAACTTGCTTTTTTCCTGCTTGCCTCTGTTGGTGTCTTGTTGCAGATCTGGCAGATTGCAAACTGATGAATTTTCCTATTGCCCTTTACAAAGTCTTGAGGCATGTCACTGAAGGCATTCATCTCATCACTCTGGCCAATAATGAGCTGAAGTCTGTGACGAGCAGATTCATCTCCACCTTTAGCCAGCTGAGAGGTAGGTGTGCATGTTTGAAGGAGGCGGTGGAAAGACAGCGCTATCACAATCTTGCCATGTGTTCGACCACATCTCTGCTCATTGTTTTCATATTTTCTTACTGCATATATATGAATTGGTTCCCCTATGAACTGCTATCGACCAGATATACAAAGTAATAATAAAATACCTATTATCAACTAGCGAAACCTCACTGAAGAATCAACTGCAGCATTAAAATCTCAGATCCTCTTGGATATTTAGAAAACATGAGGGCTGACTAATTTTCTCATGGTCAACAAGGATGATGCTGAATGGCAGGCCATTCTAAGGAGAGCATTTTGGTTTTTGATTAGGTTGTTTTATTGTAGTAATGACACTGATTCTCTTCAGGATCCAACTAGGATTTGCATTGTTTGGTATTCTCTTTACCACCCTTTCTCAACCTGCTGTTTTCCAGATGTGTTGGACTACAACTCACAGAATCCTCAGCCAGCATGGGTCCTGTAGTCCAATACATTTTGATTGTGGGAGCTGCCCTATGCAGTTCTAAGAGGTGCTTTACGAAGAACCATTTTTCCCTCAAAGTCGCTCTACTTCCAATCTTGCCCATTTAACATCCATGGAACTACAGTAGAAGGACTTGGATCTCAAGTTAATCAATCAATCAATCAATCAATCAATCTATCTATCTATCTATCTATCTATTTAGAGGAAACCCACCAAAATCAATGAGACTTAAAGTAGTCACGGCCAACTTTTTAAAAAATTGTTAGTTTCAGGAGACAGAGCCATAAAACCCCCCCAGAAACTTTCCGGCATAAGCTGAATTGAATCAGTTTGTCAAAAACATGAAAGCAGGACCTGACTTTACACTTTGCCAGAAAAAAGCTAGCTGTCATCATGTCATTACAGATCATTGCATGTCTTCTGTTCTTTAGGGAACATGGCAGCCTATTACTAATTTCCTAAATTTCAGTGGACTTACAGTATGGAAGGTAACCTAGACATGGGATTTATAAAAGCTCATTGGAACTAGTATCATATCCTGTAAAACGAATAAACGATCATCTGGCAGAATTAATTTCCTCCCCAAAATTGCACTTCTGAGAACTGCAATGAAATTTGCAGTCTGGTGAGGTTACTGAGAGGTTCTGAAAGAGTCAATTTGAAGCATATATGGAATACTGAAGAATATAAAACTCTTATTCCCATTTAATGGACTAATCTGTCATGCATAAATAAAATGAGCATTACTGTAAAATGACACAGAGAGTGGAAGCAATGAAACCATAAGTTGCTTTGGGTTCTCTGCAAGAGGGAAAAATAAGCATGTAGAAGAAATTTAATGATAATAATGATGCAAGCCAGTGGTTTTCGACGACCAGTCTGCAGACTGGTGCTGGTCTGCAGGAGATTTCCTGGTGGCCCATGTGGAGGCTGCATCCCATTCACCAAGGACCAGTGTGGTAGCTGGCTGTGCTCTACATCTCTTCCTTGGTTGGCATCTTGTTCGCGGGGGATGTTCTGGTGTTGCTGGGGGGCCAGGAAGGGGAGAGACAGTTTGGTGGGAGCTGGCTGGGAGCCATGCTGCACTGATTTTGGTATTTTGTTCCTTTGTTGGCATTTTGTGTTGCTCTGTTTCTGATTGTTTTGGAGACCTGACCTCCCCTCCCCTCCGCTCCCCTTTTTTTTCTTTTCTGTTCGTATTGTGTTTGGAAACTAATGCACAAAAAACCACATTATGTGTGTGGTGCATTTTTGTCTCTGCCTTGGTGGTCCCCAAGGTAGTTTTCCTGTTTTCTCCAGTCACCAGCTGTGGAAAGGTTGAAAACTACTGAAGTAGGTCATGGATGTGGTTTAACAGTGATGTGAATAAACAAACAGCCACCATATCTTGATAAATGCATCCTAATGGAAAAGAGGTGATTGAATAGCCAAGCTAGTAATATAGCTGAACTGTTATCTAGAGGCTCCAAATCTCCTGGAGAGATAAGAATTTATTTTAGTGCTAATCGTATAGGCTCTGGTGGCAAAATATGAAGTGCTGTGGGAATAAGTGGAGGAAAATACTGAAGTTCCTGTAGTAGCTGCAGTTACCCAGCCAGTTAAAGTTAATCGATAGTCATCAAAACTGCAGTTCCCTCTTGCACTTTGGGATGTGCTAATCTCTAGAGTGGTCTTTGAGCCAAAGTAATAACCAAGTATGTTTTCCCATGAATATTGAATCCTGGTGTAACACAATAGAGCATGAGCTGGTTTCCCCATTTGGCCTGTGGCACTTCTGTCCATTCCGCCAGGGGATACAGCTTGGTCTATTCATTTATTTAGTATAGTTCTGTCCTGCCTTTTTTCCTTTCAAAAAACTCAAGGTGACTTAATAATTCTCTTCCTCGGTTCAGTCTTGTTCCCTCAAAACAACAACCCCTGAGAGTCTGCGGCTGGCTCAGAGTGGCCCAGTTAGTTCCATGGCTGGGTGGGGACTAGAACCCAGATTGCCTGAGTCCCACACCCATGCTCTTGACCACTACGCCACACTGGCTCCATGCCCCATCCCTGGGAGACTCCCTCCCTTGGGGAGGATGTGACACAAGCAGAGGACTCCACTCACCTGTTGGGTTTGGCACATCACCTGTGCTCGACCCTTCTTCTGTTGCTCCAAAATGAGTCCATGCAGCCTGAGCCAAGCCAGGCGCACTCTGCATGAGGCACCTGTGCTGAACCTCCTGTCCAGTTGGTTGCTTAAATCTCCCCTCCCCTGTATGTGGTGGTCCTGACCCAGATTGCTCTCTCACTCTCATCTGCTATGCCCATGTGTTGTGTGCTGCCGCTCTCAGAAAAGTGAGGCTCAGAGCCACACCGCCGCCGCCGCCCTCCCTGCTTTGCCTCCAGCACAAGAATGGAAAAGAGGATGAACCAATGTTCTGGAAATAAATCTGAGTATGTGTGTGGTGGGGGGACCACAGGCAACCACTGCCTTTGGACGCCTGCATGGATGTCCATTTTACAAGCCCACAGTAGAGTCCTGAGGGAGTCAGGCCAACCAGATCAAGGTCATGTTGGGCTGTGAACATAATGGCCCCGAATCTTGGCATGGGCAGCATGTTCATGCCATGACTGTACTGACTGGACGTGTGAGAGCATCTCCTGCAATCCTGAGCCTGCACGATTCAGGAAGCAGTTGCTCCAGCTAGCCAGAGCAATGAGGACCCTGACAGGGTGAGAGAGTGAAAAGGAAAGTCAGTGAGAGCACGCAGCTGCAAGTTCCTGCTTGAGGGAAGGTCTCTCTCTCACCATGGATGGTGCCAGGGCATTGCCCTGGCCACACAAAACCATGGAGCCTCCTCCTCTGCATTTCCAAGTCGCTTCCTGCCACACAGACTCACAATATACTTGGGATTCAAGGGGTGTATTTATCCCTGCATATAGTCTCTCCCCTTTTGATGCAGCCAGGTAGCATGGCTCTTGATGGGGAAAGTTCTGGGCCCCAGCCAAACCGATGGATAGAACTTTGCAGTCGAAAGCAAAGATCTTTGAAGTGCGGCAAGTAAAAGCTCCCATTCCATTTTCCTGGGATGTAAATCAAAGCTGCTGTGATTTCTGCTTACAGTGATTTAGGGTTTTAAGCGTTGTTTAAAAAATCAAAATGCATTCAGCTAGGATCTCCTTTCATGCTTCCAGACATAGCAAACGCTCTGGCAGATAATCATTTTGGGAGTTTTGTGCACTTGAATACTACACTTCCTGAATGCTGTTTCCAAACACCACAATAGTTTGCATCACTGATCACTGTAATGTGCTCACCTAGCTGAAAGAGAGAGAGAGAGAGAGAGAGAGAGAGAGAGAGAGAGAGAGAGAGAGAGAGAGAGAGAGAGAGAGAGAGAGAGAGAGAGAGTCCTTAGATTCTGGCTGTAGTTGTTCACTTTTTCTAAAAGTCGTGCGCTGTAGGAAACTTGCTGAGAAACATTGGTAGGAAAATAACTTCCTAGCCATTCAGGAAAAGGAAGGAGGGGCATTTACAGGGACTGTGAAGAGCAGATAACATTCCAGTCTGTTTACCAAAGCACTGACAGTTCAATTATTGGAGAAGGCTAATGAATGTTACCCTGTGATCCGGCTAACTTAAACAGGCCGGCCAGTCCTTATTTACACAGTGGCTGGCATTATTTATGCAGTGTGTGCGCTTCGAGTAGGAGTTTGGGAGAAATCACAAAGGTAATGGTGTGTTATAATTTGTAGATAAGGCAGAAGCTGAATGGAATAATGACGGGATGATCAGGTGGAGGTTTTGAGCTTTCAGCACTTGATTTGTTTAGCTGCTTTCTTGGGTTTCAGCAAGCACCCAGGTAGGCGGCTCTTTTGTTTCAACATAATCTAACAACAATCAAAAAGTTTTTCCAGAGGGGAATAACCCAGGGGGGTGCCTGTGTTAATTTGTCCCACTGAAAACAACAAATTTTGTGCCACCTAAGACTAGCAGGTGGTTTCCATAGACTGGAGGTGCATGAAGCAGCATCCTCACTTATGGTCACAGAAGAGGGGAAGAAACAGTCTGGCCAAATGGCCGTGAAATAAAATAAAAGCAGAGTCCATAGCAGTCCCGTGTAAAGCTTAGTATCAATAATTGGGGACACTACAGTCATCCTGGCTTGCAATGTGAATTAACATTTGTAGTAGAACAAGAAATCACTGGCTGCATTAGTGTTATGCTAAATGAGGTTTAACATGATGAGTGAGCCATGATGACCCCTGGAGCACTTACCCGGCTGTGCCTGGGAGGAGGACTTTGGAAGCCTTTGCATTTGGTTAACTGCCATTCCAGATGACATGACAAGTCATGTGGCTTACGCTAACTAGGGTTACTTTCAAACAAGTCAATTTCAAATCATGGGCTATGAAGCTGGCTTGTTGAAACTAGCTGTAGTTGCTATCAGCCACCATTCAGAGCATGGATAACATAGTGAACAGTGCTTAACTATAAATGGAAGTGAAACTTGTCTCACCTAGGTAGGAGGAGGAGA